CTCCCTTGAGAAAATACATCTTGAAGAAGGTGAGTCTAGTAAAGCAAAATCTGAAAAACAAAAAGAGGAAGTAAGGGAAAGTGAGAACAATAAAGATGAGCATGTAGCAAATGAGTTACCACCCGAATGGAGAACTTCAAGACATCATCCACTCGACAATGTTATCGGTGAAATCTCAAAAGGGGTAACTACTCGTAGCTCATTACGTAATTTAGTTAATCATATGGCTTTTGTTTCTCAAATAGAACCCTCTACCATTGATGATGCCATTAATGATGAGTACTGGACTATGGCCATGCATGAAGAGTCGAATAAATCTAAGATTTATTCGAAAAGGAACTGCGTTTTCTAAATTCTTGTTTTATCAAAACTATTCGAATAAATGGTGTTTTAGTCGAATAAATCGACAGTTTTCACAACTAACGGTCAGTTTTTTAAATTCCCGTGGAGGTTTCTTCGGCCCTATCCATATATACTCAATCTAGTTTCATTTTTCAATATACAAGAACATACAAGAACATCTAAGAACATTGACAATTGCTATCCTTTGAGAATTTCAAAGAGTTTTATTGAATCAAATCCTCTTACTCAATTAATTCAAGCATTTTCTTGAGCAATCCTTCATATTGAAGTTTGGAGAGTCTTTTGTGTCATACACTTTAGGTTTTGTTGTAATCTACAGCATATCCGCTCTTGTTCGAAGAGTCAATTCCGCTGTGCACTTTGGTTTGTAAGTTTTTAAATTGTAAAAAACTTGAATTTAAAATAATTCAAGTTTTGGATTGAAATCCAAAGTCTTGTGAAATCAAGACTTCGGTGGAAAGGTTAGAGGCTTGTGAAATCAAGTTCTCGAGTTGTATTCGGATTGTTAAACTCCGTTAAGTTTAACAAGGATTAGGGAATCTTGGGCACGTTTGCCTTGGGGACTGGACGTAGGCATTAGGCCGAACCAGGATATATCGTTGTCTCCTCGCTTTCATTGTTTCCGTTAATCTTTTATTTTATTCCTGCGCTTTTTCTTCTTTAAACGAAAAATTTTATTATTTTCGTGAACACCTCTATTCACCCCCCTCTAGAGGTGTGAAAGGCGTCTAACAGACATATGCGTATAATTTTGTTTTGTGTTTTTGAACTTAGATGGGCAATAATACCCTTTTAGCACTCATATATTTAATATAGCATTTTCTAAACTTTAGATAACTCTTTGTACATTTTTTTTGAAGAGAAAATAAAAAGTACTCCGGGGTAACAAAAATTGAAAGATTTGAAAAGCTCTAGTAACAATGGTCCATTGAAATTATTTTTGATTCAATTTATATGAAATATATGTTAAAATATTTGATACACGAATGAGAGGTATATTAGTAAAAAAAACAAGTCAATTTATTAAAAATGATATTAAGGCGTCTAGACGGGGCACGGGTGTAAGATGTTGAAATTAAGAAGGCAACGAAATACATTTTAAAAATACAATGGGTAACGATTCAAATTACCGAATCACAGAGATATCGATTCAATGATTTCTTTTTGTGATTCTACATCCATAAATTTGAGTTTTTCACTGAGTTAGGCTCCGTTTCGTTTAACTTATTTTTTCTAATCTGATCTGGTTTTAATAAGTTCCGATCTGATCTGATCTGATTGGATTTGATCTGATCTGATCTGATTGGATTTGATCTGATCTGATCTGATTCGATCGGATATGATTGGATCGGATCTGATCTAGTCTGGTTTGATCCGATCTGATTTTAATAAGAATAAGAAAAAATAAAAAAAATAAGTTGAACAGAACGAGGCCTTAGTGTTTAAATCTTTAATATTGCGATAATGGACAAAACCATAGGAACCTTTTAATTGGTTTTTTGGTTTTCTTATTCCTTAATATCTAAGAATAGCATTTGAATTGGTATGTGATCTCCTTATTCCTTAACGTCTAAGTACTTTTCAATTCAGCAGCCATAGCATTAAAATTAAAAAAGGACCAAAAGAAAAACTTAAAAGCGCTCACCCACAAGATCTTTGTTCTCTAATCGTTCAACTTAATTGCTTATTCACTATTTTTAAGTTCAAACTTTAGGAAAAAACATAAAATTAGGAGTAAAACATTGAAAATATACTAAAATAGGATTTCCATAAATGTATTTAGATTACCAAACATTGTCATGTACATTACCAAAAAGTATAGTAATATAGACATGTACACTGTCACATTACCACAGTGTAAAGTTCTATTTCAGAAATAAAAACATGAAAGTTCTATTTTGGTACTTTTATCTATGTTTTAGTTCTATTTACGGTGATTTTTTCAAACTTTAACCATTTTCTTTAATAAAATATTATAGTCATTTAATAAAATATAATACTCATGTCATATCTACTTTTGTAGAATTTTTGATGTGTTTTTAAATAAATAAATTTTATTTTATAATTATATACCAATTTTCAAATAAAAAAATTGAAAATAATTTAAGTTAAACCTCATTAACAACAACATGCGATTTAAATTACTAAAGAAGTAGTATAACTAAAGATATTTTAAAATGTAATTACTACTTAATGAAATTTTATACGAGTAAGAATTTTAAAATAATAATGAACTAATAGTTTTAAAATAATGTAGTTACTAAGCCTCCGTTTGGTACACGGAATTCAAACAATGGAATTGGAATTGAGGACTTCAATTCCAATTCTGCTGTTTGGTAGCACAAAAATCATGTAGATTTGGAATTGATAGTGCAAAAAATGATTTGGAATTGGTGAATACAATTCTATGGAATTTCAATTCCAACTCCATATAAATTATGGACTTCGAATTGAGGGCTTGAATTCTAATTCTTTGGTAGCACAAAAATTATGTGGATTTGGAATTGGTAGTGAAAAAAATGAATTTGAATTAAAAATGAATTTTAGTCCCCTCGTCCCTACAGTCAGCACACTAGGTAGTAGAGGACTGGAAAAATAGTTCGCTCCATTCAACCTAAAGGTAGGGATCAAACCCCTTACCTCATGCTTAAGGGATAAAGTGTTGAACCACCACACCGACTATGTTGGTTTGTTATCAATATGTTACCTTTTTAATTTCATTTTCTTCCGTTTTTCTTTTTTTACTTTCTAACCAAACAAAAAAATTCCCAAAACTTATTTGCCTTTTTAGTTTCATTTTCTTCCATGTAATCTATTTCATCAAATGAATGACCAAATTGGGTTTTATTTTCTTTTCCTATCAAATTCCTAGTTTTACTCATTTGCTAGTAGAGTGTATTTTTTCTGTCGACTTTTTATGGAAAATGTTTAAAACTGACATTAGTTATAATTAACGTAGACATTCAATTAAATATTATAAAATAATGGGCTAAATGTAGAATATCCTCAAATACAGAAATTACTTGTGGAAGTTATTGGTAAAGAATGCTCTCAATTTATTGTTGAGAATAGTTTGGAGAATTTTAGAAAAGTACATCTATTGCACAATCTGGATAGACTTAAGATGTATGAATAGTATTCGGGCATGTTGTACTCCTTGAGATGGAATCTGAAAATTGTGTATACCCATACCTTGGTCAATTCCTATTTGGAGTATTTTTGGTTCTTCGTTTTTTATTAAAAATGATAGTTTCTATACCCGATTGCAGCCTGATTCTAACTCAACCCCACCCCCTCCTCCACCCTCATCGATTGGATTACCGCAGTTTAGTTAACTTTGGAGTTAAAAATTTGACTATAATGTTGGTGTATCCAATTGATGCAGATAGGGTATAGGTTCGGGTCGGGCTGATAGGAAGTTTTTCGATGGATTAAGGATTAGAAACAATCAATTTTGTGAACCGAGGATCGAATGAGATCATAATAGCATCGGGACCGCTCCGATATAGTCAAGGTAAAAAGTATTCTTTCCTTCGTCTCAAAGTGTGTGTAGCCCGTGGACATAGTCTTCGAGCTGGCAAATTGGGATGAGTAACAATCATGTAAAACATGACTTCGTGCATACATGTCTTTAGTAGCTACTCTTTACGCGTTAGACTAAAATTGTAACATAATTTTCTTCATTACTTTTTACCATAAACACGAAGGAAAATGCTATGGTGCCACCACATGGGTGCTACCATGGGTGCACCCATGTGGTGACACTCTAGCATGGTCCTAAACACGAAACAATTTTCGGTATGTGGTGTCAAATTTGGGGTAGCCCAAACATGAGTCTATACTTGGTGTTATTTAATGTTTCCCTTCGGGTGTAAGTAAGAATAGTTCCTCCTTTTTTGGTTGAAAGAAAATACAGTGAAGAAACTAGTCCAAGTTAGACCCAAATTAAAATATTCCACTAGTTAGAGTGGAAAATAAAAAATGAATAAATATGTAAAAAAAGTATGCTTTTGTGATCTTAAAGTCTACATGTGGAATGCAAATCTTCTCACATATTTTCATGGCCTGAATGTGGATGTGGATCCACCAATTTTAAATAAAAAAAACTTAATACTTTCATGACGTTTACGTAGTAAGATATATAATATCAGTGTGAACTTAAAGAGTACAAAAGACTTTGCCCATCTAAAACGTCAAGACGAAGGGAGTAAGAGTATGTTCTCTTCGTCTAATATAATTGATTTTATCAAAGCCTGATATGATCTAATTTGATTTTAATTATATTTAAAATCCTTCTTGGTATGATTTGATTCTAATAAGAAAAAATAGTTCTCTCTCCATCTCTAGATTATTGTAAGTTACTATTCAAAACATCATCAAACTTTATTTATTTTCTTTTTCTATTTTCGTTAATTATTTAGTAAAATAGAATAATTTTGTCACTATTTATTTTGTAAATCTTATGATGTACTCTGTAATTTTTAAATTTATAATTTTTATTTTTTTATTCAGTAAGAATTTTAATATAAACTGAATTAAAAATAATTTCAGTAAAACATGGCAACTTGAATCGAGAATATCTAGAGGGACAGAGAGAGTATCTAATCGAAATAAATTGAAGAAAACAAAGTCTAACGTAGGGCAAGGCTGGGTCGAACTCCACTCAGACGTGTAACACATAATTGATTATGTGACAAATTCTGGACCCAATTCGATAATCTTTTTTTAAATGGGACGGATATCAATTCTTTTTTTAAGGTAATAATTTCAAATTCCTTAGTATCCGATCCATCGTGTCCTATACATCCTAGTCAAATTTGCACTAAATAGGACTAAAACATAATGACTTTCCTAATGTAGGACTTCAACTTTTTTATTCTCTAAATAGGACTAAATAATGACCTCGTGGAAGGAATAATGTCCAGTAATGCTAGACATTTACTTGAATAATGACTACTTGTTAATGA